GGATTAATTCACTGTTTTTCGAAAGTGTCGTCAGCTGTACTACTGGATTCTGGATAAAACCCATAGCTTATTTTAAAGTAACCATAACCAAAAAGGAAAGGAGGAATCGACGGTGTACAACTAGAAACAGCCCATTGCAGTCTTTTTTAACATCATGGAAATCAGATTCTATTGGAATATGAAGATCATGGCATGCAATGGCCAGTTCCCTCGGGTATTTTGGTGGCTCTGATTGTTTATCGACTGTAATGGCTCAAAAGCATTCTCAAGTCCAGGAGTTCAACCACTGCAAACGACTATCGGCAGCCGAATCGAATCCGTGGAGTTTCTCAGGCGAAACCGGGAACGATCTGTGTTCATCCATGTCCATAAATTGTTCCAAGGCAAAGAACCCATCGTTTTCTTCCATTGCTGCCTGTTGGAGGATCGGCTCAGCTTCAGCTTCAAGACCCACCCTGTTTCCATCATGGGCTTCGGCCACCATTTCACTTAGCTTCTCCAACTGTGAGAGACATCATCTTTTTATGATGAGTGATTATTCTCGGTGAGGAAGAACATTAGTGGTATATTAGGTACCTGGGAAACTAAGGACTGTTTTTCGTCCTTCAAGGACTCGAACCTGGACGCCAGATTATCGTATTTATCCCTTAACTTGATGTAATCTTTCTCAATCTGTTTAGACTTCAACCTCGCTCGCCTGTTTTGAAACCATATGGCCACCTGTCGTGGCTGTAGACCCAACTCCCTCGCCACCTGCAACTTTTTCCTCGGTTCTAGTCTCGTCTCCGACTCGAAAATCGACTCGACAACCTTATTTGTTCATCAGTAAACCTCTTCTTGTTCTTCTTCATCATCTTGTTGCTGCTGCTGCTGTTGTGGTTCTTTCTCTTCCTTGGAGTTTGATGTTCTTGGCACTGTTCTGAAGTTGCTTTATCGGGTGGTGCTGGATGATCTTCTCTAAGCTCCATTATCGAAGTTGCGCGGGATGAATAATGTTTGGTATTAGAGAATTATAGTGGGGGTGGGGAACTTAAATATACAGTTGGACATGATGGGAACGAGGATGGAGCTTGAAATCCTGTTTTTCTATATAATTTCAAGGACTAAAAATGAATTATGAAGTTTTGAGAGGGTCAAAATAACATTTTACAATTGTGTTGGTGTATGATTTGGATGGGGATTTAGCTGCAATTTTACATTTTGGTGGGGCGTTTGCACCCCTGATCGGAACTGCTACGTTTGGCAGGTTTCGAGTGATTGAGACATTCGATTAATGGATTCTATGAACCAATAATTATTATATCGTATCACACATCTTCTTTCCCGTGCCTTGTGGACATCTATGTCTTTCATTCTTGATTCATTTGTAAACCATGATACGATTTTAATTCTTATAATCACAATGTTATGTATATCGAAAGATGGTAATTATACATGCCAATCACGATTTATTCATTATTTTAAAAGATAAAATATAATTTATTATCATCGTGGGACATGTTTTATTATTTTAGAACAAAAGTCCAGCTACATTTTGTATAGAATTTATACATGGATTAACGGCACAAAGAATAGTCGATTAAGGTGAGCTCTTACTTTTGACTTGTTCTGCTGTGAAATATATAATAAATTACGAATAATTATCATTTCCAAATTTATACAAATATAATTATACGACACACTAAAATACATAAATAAATTAGGAATACAAACAGATAATTATGGATTTTTATGCCACACCTGTCTGGATCGCAAAGAGTCCAAGTGGCCGAAAGGGTGCGGGGTAGTTATATTTGTCCCAGCATTCATGTATAGATATCAGTCCATTTCTTTATTACAATCATCAAATGTTTTGAAACAATGTGAAGCCATGAATTTTTTTTCCTTGTAAAAAATATTAATATATATATATATAAGATAAATCTACAGTTTCCTGAGAAAATAGATACAAAAAAATCAAACCGATCACAGAGCAAAACATTAGGATCAGCTGTCTGTAGGTTGGCCTGATATTCGACAGAACCGGATTTTTTTTATTTATCATTTTTCTCTAAAGGTTAGATCAAAGAAGCAAGAAACCAAATCGGCTTAAGACAGATTACCCAACAAAGATGTCTTATCCCATCCATTAACAATTACTAAACAATTATCTGTTTCGTTTTCTGTATTAAAATCTCCGATGTCTCATTTTCAAAGGGTAAGAATTTCATGTCATATAGTCCAATGCTCAAATGTGTCCCCACATTTCCATTGTTCTTTTACGACTTTAAATAGACATGAAATGTGGATGTTTCATTGAGGTTGTTGAAGGGTCACCATTAGGCAAGTACATGTGTCCTCCCCTCGAAAGCTTCACATCATTAGACCCAATAATTATCGGAATTAATTAAAACATTTCTCATCTAAACTCCCGTTACAACAGCTTTGCTCCCTGTGTAGAAGTCCGACCGCAAGTCTTTGCCAAAGTCCGACCTAGTTCCTGTTGGTCGGACCGCAGAAGTCTTTAACCAAAAAAAAGAAAAGGGTTGCAGACTAAACGGCAGAACCCTTGTCCTATTGTTTTAGTTCAGCTTGTTGCCCGTTTCATCGGCTAAAACCGAGTAGCTCGACTTTTGGACAGATCTAATATCACTATTACAGTTAGTAAACCACTGTTGTTTCGACTCGCACTAATGTCGCATACATGGAGTATAAAAATTGACCCGCCTTACACCTTCCAAATACATAGAAAAACATATAAGAAGGTGAAACATACTCGTATTGAGTACGCACTATCGAACACTCATACCTTAACAGCGAATCGATAATGGCACCAGAAAAAGATCATGAACAACGGTAGAGATTGTCTATTTAACACTTACTATCCATTGTAACATGAAACATAAATTAACATTCATGTCTGTCAAAACCTCGTTAACGAGCTAAAAGATACCAACCACGATTAAACCCCGCAAGAGTAACTACGATGCACGGATAAATAACATTTAACACCAAAAGTACCCCGAATGTACTGCTGTAAATAAGCATGTATATGTAAATATATTGGCAGTTGATAAGTCTGGAAGAAAGAAAGAACGGGTGATCTAGTGCATTGCAAGGCGAGGAGAACGGGTGATTTAGTGCATTGCAAGGCGAGGAGAACGGGTGATTTAGTGCATTGCAAGGCGAGGAGCACGGGTGATTAGTGCATTGCAAGGCGAGGAGCACGGGGACGAACAGGTGTCTTTGATGGGCTTACCCTGCACATGCAAAAGGCAAATATTCCCATAAAATTTGGGGAAATAGAACTTCACAATCCAATATATATGTGTGTATAAATTCGAAGAGAAAAGTTTCGTAAACCGACCTTATGGGCAGTGATCCCAAAACCACACCACTGCAGTTGAGGGCTGCAATCGCACTTTCAGCCTGCATGAGATGAAAAATAAAACACGAGATCATCGTAAGTTAACCGATCAACAAAAAAAGCCGACAATATGAGACACACCATAAAATGAGTTGCATCTTGTTATTTAATGGCAATCGCAAGATGCCAAATCATATATCCGCGGAGGAATATATGATTATTTGGCAGTTACATTTCTCAAGCAATATTTGTGGAATTTATTCGAACTACGACTATTTGGGGGCGGATGATGCCAAAAGATTTGGTTGATACAGTTAAGTTTCCCAAATAGGTTTAAGAACAACTTCACTTACGTCACGAGAAAGGACAATACGGACAATTCAACATGATACCATAAAAACATATGTTGCAAAAGTCGTTAAATAAAGATAGCAAGACAGTAACCACCATTGTGAACTCGACAAAAGCAATGCGAGTTGAATGACGATAGTCTCCCAATAGCCTCAAGCGTTGAACCTTACCATAGAATAAAAAATTCAGTAAGAAATCGTTAAATGCAATACTTATAAGGCGAGCAGCATTTATAAGCGCATGAGAAACTACAGACCTCCCCACATAGTGATTCAAAGAAGAGCTTGACATCAGCTTGAGTAATCTGTATCAGTTGAACAAATAAGCCAGGAATTATTGATCGGGTTATTGATCACAATAGCATTCCAGAAAATACCGGACATGAGAAACTACCTTCTTGTCTATGTTTGTACAGTAAATGGTTCTTGCACACATCTCCCGCTCATCCTCAGACTGAAGAGAGTAAAACATTTGAAGCCATGTAATTAAAAACAAAACACATATCAACATGACTCTGATACAGTTTCTATAACTTACACACAAACGTGAAAAAGTTCTCACAGAATATATGCTTTACCCTGGGTAAAAAGGTTGGGTTAACAGGTGCGATCGCCGTCTTGGAATGCATCACTTTCAGAGGGTAATAACCGAGGATGGTCCCAGACAAATTCAAAGCAGCTTCCGCATCCTCTGCAGAACATTGAATTGTCAACACTGTAAAAGGAAAGCAAATATCAATGCTTACCAAATGTATAAACCGTTCGTAATACCTTCTTTATAAAATTCGATGAAGGCAAAGCGGAGAACAGAATTAGGGTCACCGCATATACGACAATCAACAACCTTTATAAATAACAGAAAGTTCTTTTAAGGGAATAATCCACTACCACTGAGTCAGATAACCCGGAAATTAATTACTAAATACGACAAAGAAACAAGATATACCGGTCCGCAACTCAGGAAGAGACCTGCAAGAAGCTCCTCAGTAACCTATTCCATAAACACAATCAATCAGCACAACATCACTATAGTAAAACTGAGGCAAAAACCATAAATGTTAAACCATGTTACCTGTAGATCTATATCCGATACATAAACAGTCTTCCTAATTGCATCCTCTTGCTGCCCAAGGTTAGTTCGATTATTCAACCTTCTCTTCACTGGCTAAAGTTGTTCCTCTTCTATGAAAAAAGGAACATAGAATCAACAAAAAAAGCTACCAATATAAAACAAAAACAAAACGCCACAGCAAAATGAAACTTACATACCCTTCTATTAGTGTATCCATTGCCAGAATTAGCATTCAGAGCAAAATTGTCAGTAATAAAACCAAACCCATTTCCAGAAAGTGATTATCATGACGGTTTTGATCATGGTGGTGGAGGTTGGCAAGGGAAGGAGGAACAAATTCCTCAGCCATAGGGTTAAGCTTAGACAAAATTTCAACCAAATCACTCATGTTTTTCTCGAAAATCTCATCATCACCCCCATTTTCCACATTGCTAAACCCATTTAGCATTTCAGTTTTGCTATCGCCGTCGCCATCGATGGCTGCTTGTGCTGGTTTGACTTGTTCAAACCGGGCTTCCTTGTCAGTCTTAGCAGCAGCCACGGAATCGCTGCTGGTTTTTGATTTTCCAGAATCATTGACCGCATGAGAGCCGATCGACGACACAGCCACAGTGTTCTCAGGAACCGGCATGATCGAATGCAAATCCTCTTAACAAAACGATGGTATGTTTCAGATTCCCTGTAATGTACACAACAAAAATCACATCTCTATCATCCTGCCTCGTTAAATGATCCGATAAACAAATACCCAGAGATTAAAAACAGGAACAAAAACAAAAAGATGAAGTTGCTTTTGTAGTTATTGTTGTTGGAAGAACAACGTGCCTGACTTATCTAAATGGTTTCCATTGATGAAAAAGCCAAAACTCACCTCAAAGATCGTCACTTTATGTGCTGAGAATTAGCAAAAAGAAAGGGTCTGCAAATCGAGGGAGAAAACGACGAACAAAAAGAAGAAGCGTTTGTTAGGTTTTATTGTGATGATTCTGTAAATTGACAAAGAGGGCTTGGCTGTGTGTTTTCAATGGGAGTGAAAATTGAGGAGAGGCATGAGGTGGAGGCAAATGTGCGGAATAATGTAATTTATTTATTGAAACCTTTTATATTGGGTAAATTATGTGTTTAGTACCTAAACTATTTTAGTCTGTTTTAAAATCTAAATTTTCATTTTTTTTCTTCAAAATCATACTTATTATTTAGTTTTTGTTTCATTTTAGTATTATGCCGTTAAAAACTTAATGGACGGGCTAGTTGGTCGTCACGTCTAAAGTTATCAATCGTCACATCCGTCGGTTGGTGAAGCCCAAACTTTTCAACTTGTACCTTTTTTACCCCTGAACACGATTATGACCTATGTTTTGTAAGAAAATATCTTAATATCCCTATATCGACGATTAACTCTTCGATTTCTTCATCCTTTGATCTCCATGGTCCATCATTCGTGTTATGATATAAACCTAACTACTAAGTATAGTAGAAACATAAGAGAGAATAAAAGAATACTTTGCATCTCATTTATTAAAATCAGATGTACAAGAATGAAGACTTAACAACTTATTTATAACAACTGATTAACAAACTTCTCTTAACTAACTAGTAACAACTCTTAACCAACTTTTAACAACTTAGTTGAAACTAACTTCATACTAACATTCTATACACTAACATTCCTCATGCAGTTCACACCTTCAACTTTACACTTTATGAACATTCTTCACGTTGTTCACATACACTAACATTCCCCATGCAGTCCACATCTTTAGCTTTATCATCATTCACACGTTGAGATAAGCTAGTTAGCAAATCACAACCATCATTATGAATTCAAGTGACCAACAGCTTCTGTTGATAACGGAATCGAGCAATCACTTACTGTTTACGAGAACTCCATGATACTAGATTGCCACCAAAATAAATGCAATATTCTGATGTGGATCGCATGTCATCAACATCCGCACCCCAATTTGTATCAACAAAGCCCACCAAGGACAGTCGAGAAGAGGATGAGAACCGTAAACCATAATCCAAACTGCCATGCAAATACTTCTGAATTCTCTTGACTGTCTAGAAATGCAAATCTCTACGAGTTTGCATAAACTGACAAACACAATTAACAGGCAATATCTGGCCTAGTAATCACAATATATTGAAGAGCACCAACAATGCTTCTATAACGAGCCACCTCATCAATGGGTGTTCCATTAGCAGCAGAGAGCTTACATTGTGTTACCATGGGAATAGGAAGTTCCTTAGTTGTTCCAAACCCACTCTTTTATAACAAATCAAGGACATACTTTTATTGGTTCAGCACTAAACCATTGGAATCATAGCAGACTTCGATGCCCAGGAAAAACTTAAGAAAACTAAGGTCTTTCAAAGCAAACTTTGCATGAAGCTTATTTATAACATCTTGGACTTCACTCGAGCAGCTTCCTGTGAGAATAATATCATCTACATATATCAATAGATAAATCATACCATCATCGGTTCTGTGAACAAATAAAGAGGCATCTGATCGTGATAAACCAAATCATTCTAAGATCAAATACCCTTTGAGACTCTGAAACCATACACATAGTGCCTGCTTTAGACCATAGATTGTTTTATTCAGTCTGCACACCATATTACCACCACCTTGTTCATAACATGGAGGCTGCAACATGTATACTTCCTCAGACAAGTGTACATTTAAGAAGGCATTGTTAATGTCTACCTGCATAAGGGACCAGCCTTTTGCTAATGCAAGAGATATTATGACTCGAACAGTAACTGGATTTACCACAAGACTGAACACTTCATTAAAATCAATCCCGGATTGCTGAAGAAATCCCTCGGCCACCAGACGAGCTTTGTAACGAGCAATGAAGCCATCTGCATTTCTTTTAATTTTAAAAAACCATTTATAACTCACAACTCAACTACCTTTAGGAAGGGGACCAATGTCCATATTTCATTACGAGTCAAGGCATCAAATTTTGCCTGTGCATCAACTTTTCAGCGAGGATGAATAAAAGCCTCATTAATCATTGTAGGTTCTTTATCATTAAATGAAATATTCAAAACCTTTGGTTTTCATATCCCATTTTTACCACTTGTAACAATGGGGTGAATATTTTAACAAGTGGGTAGTCTGATCAATAAAAGTAGGTGGCATAGTATTAATCGAATCACCTACTTCAAGACCAGTATCATGTACATGGCTAGTATCCTTAAATTTCGAAACCAACTCTTCAACAACCCCAGGTGGTGCAAGATGCATAGAAATATCTGTCGAGTCTGTAGGAACCTGTTCCTCACGATATAATATTCTATCAGCAGCTGAAGACACTGTACCATACGTACTAACCGAGTCTGTAGCAATCTAATCCTCATGCACTAACAACCCATCAGTAGATGGAGAAGCTACAATATGTGAGGTGTTACCCTCATTTACTCCACTCGATCCAGAAACTGAAGTTGTAACGATCAGAAGAAGCCCTTCAATGACCCCTGAAGAACACAAACTATTAGTTGTAATGTTGCACCTTTGTTGAAAATGAAAGACATGTTCATCAAACACCACATGTCGAGAGATGATCACCCTCCCATCATCATCCAAACATCGATAGCCCTTATGATAAGGACTATATCGAGAAAAACACATCGCCTTGACCTAAATTCCTATTTGTGAGGATTAGCATATCTCATGTATGGAAAACATGCACAACCAAAAACACGTAGAAAACCATATTTTTGAACCTGTGATACAAAACTTCAAATGGAGATTTGCCATCCAAAACTTGAGTGGTCAGTCTATTGATGAGATAAACAACAGATACAAAAATATAGCTCCAAAATTTCAGGGGTAGCGATGCTTGAGCCAATATGGTTAACCCTATTTCAACAATATATCTATGTTTACGCTCAGTTCGACCATTTTGCTCAGAGATGCCTGGACATAAAATTCGATGTTTTACACCATTTTGCTGCAACCAACCCTTAAGTGACTGATATTCACCACCATCATCTGTTTGCAAAACCTTAATTTTACAGTCAAATTGTACTTCTATTAACTTGTAAAAGTTAAAAAAATGACTGCACCTCAGACTTCCTTTTAAGAAAGTAAACCCAAGTGTATCTGCTCGCGATATCAACAAATGAAACATAAAATGAAAACTCATTTGAGGAATTATAAGGAGCATAACCCCAAACATCTGAAACAACTAACAGAAAGGGTTCATTATATTGTGATATAGAATAACAAAAAGGAAGTTTGTGAGTCTTCTATTTCATACAAGCAACACACACATGTGGCAACCTATTCTTAGGAAAAGAGATATTACAATACTTCATAATAGATTTTACTACATCAATAGAAGTATGACCAAGGCGTCGATGCCACAGGTCCAAAGGGTGTGGAATTACAGAAACATTATTTATCTGAGCACGCCTGAGCACAAGGAAGTAACTGACAGAGTCATTCATATGTGAGCCTCCCTCGAAGAAGAACTTGTCGTGTCTGAGCATCATTCACAATACATTCATACGAGTGAAACTTAAGAAAGACACAATTATCTCGAGTAAACTGAGAAACATAAATCAACTTCTTCTTGATGTTAGGAACATGTAGCATGTTATGCAAAACTAAAAGCTTCATACTATAATATAAAGAGCTTTGCCCTACATGTGCAATTTTAACGCCATCACCATTGCTCATGTGCAAAGCATTATCACCTGTATACACCATACCTGAGTGAAAAACAGATGGATCATTAGTAACATGGTGAGTAGCACCAGTGTCAGGATACCAAACAACATCATTTGTGGGCTTCAAAAATGACTGAACACCAGAGGATGAAAGCATGGAAACAAAAGTTGCAGGTGTTGAGGGTGCCAAAAATGGATTCTGGCCAACTACAGAAGAACTTGAGACATCATTAGAGGAACCAACTGAAAACCCAGAGGATGTATAATAACTAAAAGCTGTTGGGGAACAAAACGAAGTACCAGGAACTATCGAATTAACTGAATATAGGTAAGGAGAAGGAACATGGACAAAACCAGGATATGAAACTGTAATCAACACATGATTATACCCCGTGCAGAGGGTTGTTGCTGATCTACACCCGAACCATTTGACCATTTTGAATAATTCATAGCTGATGTACCAGAATCACCAACACAGTGCAATCACAATCAAAACGATGATAACATTTATGGACAACATGACCAAACTTACCACACAATTGACACTGTGGCCTGTTGGAGTTATAACTCCGTCCACGACCTCATCCTCGATAACCACCTCCCTACTGATCATGCACTTGAGATGAATTATCATCAGAGGAGTCTTTTACACTCAACTCGCCATCAGGCTTCAGCTAAACAACATTAGCCGAGAGTTCTTCACCTAGGAATATATTCTGTCGAGCCTCACTGTCAAGCAGTATTTCGATGAGAGTGTCCAATGATACTTCTTTCCTATAAACTATAGCAATTACAGATTCAAATTCCATAGTTAAGCTAGCTAAAATAACACCAACATGTTCTTGTTCAGTTACAACACTTCCAGAAGCATTTAGCAAATCACAAACAACTTTGACCTTTGCTAAAAATTCATGAACAGACAAACCAGATTTCTTTTGTGAATGCAAAGTATGGCGAAACGATGAATTTTTTGCACTAGATCATGCACCAAACAAACGCGTCATAGCATTCCAAATAGCGGCTGCAGACGTAAGACCAGTAAGGTGAGGCAGGACCTCCATACTCACAGTAGTTAACAACCAGGAGGAAATAAGCTTCATTAGTAACAAATTCATTTGGAATAACTATATTAGAGGAAATAAGCTTCAACAAACCATAACCATCAATGATTAACGATACTTGATGTTTCCACAATAAATATGTATTTTCAGTGAGTTTAACTATATCATGTTTAGTTATATGATGAATGGAGCTTACACGAGCAACAGTAGCCCATAAGAGAGTTAATCTGCGAACCATTCTCATCACGGGTTGGATCAACCATAAGATCAACCATATTAAACAACATTTAGATATGAACACATATCTAAACTCAAGGAAAAAAAAAGGAGAGGTACCAATTCAAGAAGCAAAGAACGATGAAGCAAAGGCGACAAAAAACGAACACCTGGGCTTCATAAATAGCAACAGGAAGATACACCACAGCAGCACCAGGAATTAGCGAATGATATCATGTTATGATATAAACCTAACTACTAAGTATAGTAGAAACATAAGAGAAAATAAAATAATACTCTGCATCTAATTTATCAAAATCACTTGTACAAGAATGAAGGCTTAACAACTTATTTATAACAGTTGATAGTCGACTCGTCATTCTCTCGTGATCCACTGTTCGAATTGGTCGTCCACTCACCATAACTATATCACGTTAGCTTGCTCGTTAAGTTTTTAATGGTTGGATACTAAAATGAAAGAAAAATTAAAAGTTGGGTATGGTTTTCAAAAAAGAAAATTTTTAAATACTAAAATGAAAATTTGTTAGTTTAGATAATAAATACGTAATTTACCCTTAATTATGGGCAAACTATGTTTTTCATCATTAAACCCTGGTTATATTTTTATTTTGACTATTAATTTTTTTTAAAATAATTTAATTAATTAAAGTTTAAATCATTTTATTGTTGTTACTATGATATTAAATAAACAATAACAGGGTGATACGATTTTTTCCTCCAACGTAATAAATATTTTTTATTTATTTCATAATTTTTCAAATAATTTTAAATTTTTAGAGTTTCATCTTCATCTGTTATCATTAGATTTGAATACTATCATTCTTTAATATCATAAAGTTTCATCTTTTTTTCCTATCATTCTAACAGTTTAAATTTTCTCAAAATCTATTTAAAATTCATAAAATTATAATCTAAAATACGATAAAAATAATTATATTTTATAATCTCTACTATTTGATCATAAAAAAAATCAAGATATGTTATTTATTTATTTTTTCACTTCTTTAACATTGAAAATTGAATGAAAATATTCAAACATAAAAAAATTAAAAGCGTAGTTATGTTTAAAATTTGGGGAAAATAATATAAGGACATTTTTCATAAATTTAAAATAAAATTTTAGAGTATTTTTATCATTTTAAAAGAAATATTTCATTATTAAAGTAAAAATAATATATATATATATATATATATATATGAAAGTTGAGTCATCAGATTAAATGGATGATGACTCTCTTTTCTCTTTTTCTTCTTTATAACTTGATTAATTTTATTAATCAATTTAATTTTTTTAATTCTGTTTAACCGGTGGTTATATTGATTTTAATGTTAGTTACTGTTCGTCGATTTTTTTTTTTAGTTTTTTTAATTTTTTTAATAAGAATAATTATGTATTTGTGACATGTTTTATGCTTTTATGGCACATTTATCTTTACATTTGTGACATATTTTTTTGTCTTTTGGTAACTTATGATTTTTTTACTGTTATTTTTGTTTATCTTTTTTTAAGGGTTGGATTTGACATTGTCACGACTAATTAAGATATCGTTTATTTGTTATCATGATGATCTTCTCTGTTTTGAACCCTCAAATTGATTTGGATACGTGTCGCTTGACTCTAATTTGTGATTTATCGATGATTTTTCAGTAGCTTCATCTCCTTTTATAGTTATTTTACTAATGCTGTCAAATTTATTCGTGTCTTTATTTTATTCGAATTTTTAGTTAAATTTTTTAACATTTTCATTATTTGATATTTATTTTATCTATGTAACTAATTATTATCTCCATAATAATAAAAGAATATCATAATTATATTTTAAATTTATGATCATACTTATAAATGTTGATTGTACTTTTAGATATTTTCTACTTTTAACAAAATTAACTACTTTCTATCAAAAATATTTTTGTCGATGACTCGATACGAAGCATTTTGATAGAGTTACGACAGCCGTCTTTATCCACTTCCCTGGCAGACGTCAGTTTCCTTTTGCTTTCCCAACAACAAAAAATCTTTATCACGTCGAATGGTTTTATTTATCATATACAATGTTTTTCATTATTAGATTATTTAGTAATTTATCAACACTATTTGATGAAATTAATACATTTTTATACCTATAAAATTTTAATCAAATATTACAACGAAAAGCTAAAAAAATAGTCAATTTAATGACCTTTTTTTTATTTCTGATCAATTCGTGAATCCTACTTCTTTTTATCGAATATGAAATTAATTATTATTATTTTTTTACTGAAGCAACACAAACGATATATATTTTATCATCGAAGGAAATAAGTTCAACGTGAAAGAGTTTGAGCACAAAACAACGACAACGAACACATCCACATATAAACATAAATTTTTATATTATGTGTGAATTATAAAATTTTAAGATACGAAAACTAATTATTAACAAAAAAATATCTAAAAAATATTTAAAATATATCACAATTTAAGATTTTCAAACAACGAGTCTCTCTTCAATTCATCTTTAAACGCACCCAAATAGAAAGAAGAGATGATTTTTTTTAAATAAATAATAATAATAATAATAAATGATAGGCAGAGGAGAGAGAAAAACATAGTGAAAATAAAAATGGAAATAAATAAATAAAAACTAATGAAATGAAATAAAACTAGGTCTATATAAGAGAAAAAGAGATTAGGATTCGCACTATATTACTTTAAAAATATTTATATAATTTAACATATTCGAATTTTAATATAAGATATCAAGATCATAAAACTTTAACAATGTTCATTAATTATAATACCTCATACAATTATTTTTATAATTAAATAAATGAAAATAATAACAACTTTAAAGAATTTTTTAATTTAAGTTTAATGAATTTTTATGTACATTATAAAATTATAATAATGTTTTCTTGTATTTAAGATTCATGTTTAAGTTTGAGTCTTCAATTGAGTTAAGTTTTTTTTTTAAAAAAATTCACTTCGAATCTTTTCGAGCTGCTCACGAGTTTCAGTGTAGAATTTCGAGTTCGAGTCGAGCTTAAAAATTTTAAGCTCGCAAGTTTTCGAATCGAATCGAGCTCCATTTCAGAATTTTTGAGTTGAATCAAGCTCAACAATACTCGAACTCGACTCGACTCGTTTACACCCCTACAGTGGAGCAGTGCTAAAAAATGACAAAAAAAAAAGGTATATCAAATGGGTGCCCCACGTGTCCTCTTTTAATTTCCTGTTCGTATCCCACGTGTACTTTCGGTTTGGTGTCAAACGGCGTCGTCTGGGACTTCTAGATTGTTCGTTAACCAATCTTCATAAATCAAAAGATTTAATCAAGTGCACTGTGAAAATAGTAGAATAAATTCTGATAATTTTGAACAGACTTAAAGTAAAAATATAGGTACTATATATTTTTTTAACTTTAGAAAAATATTTCGGCCAATAATATGTGGACATGTTATAAAAATTAGGTATTTTTTTTAAAAAAATAGTTTAAGGGCTTGAAGTTAAAAAAAGACATAGTTTAATAATTTATTTTGACTAAAATTTAGTTTAGGTACTTAAAGTAGTTACATATAATAATTTAAAGACTTATTTTGACAAAAAAAATAATTTAGAATCTTAGAGTATAAACAAAGAAACATAGTTTAGGGATTTGTTTTAGTTTAAGCCTCTTGAATATAGTAGAATTAAAATTTGACCTTATTTTGTGTTCAAATATTTTAATTCATTTTTATATAAAAATATTTTTGATTAAGTGATAAATAGATTTGTATATACTTAATATTTTAAAGGGTAAAGTACATTAATATAAGGTATTTGCTTTATTAAGTCCCTTAACTATTAAAAGTTACAAAATGGTCCTTCAACTATAAAATATTACTTTGTTGAGTCCCTCGACTATTAAAAGTTACAAAATGGTCAATTAACTATTCATTATGTTATAAACTCGTCATTTTCCGTTACATAATTGACGATATTTTGAGCTGAACGTTAACATGTTAATTGTGATATGATAAAATATGATCATAAAATCTCAAACAACTATCATATTTCAGTAATCACGTTAACATCCAGCTCAGACAACTGTCGATTTTTTAACGAAAAAGGACAAGTTTGAAACACAATGAATAGTCGAGTGACCGTTTTTAACTTTTAGTAGTCATAGACTCAACAAAGTAAACACTCTATAGTTAGAGGACCATTTTATAACTTTTGATAGTTAAAGGACTTAATAAAATAATATCCTATAGTCGGGGACCATTTGTATATTTTACCGTATTTTAAATAGATTTGATTTTTTTTTCAATAGGTTGTTAAACACACGATTAGTAATAAATTCGGGCGATGTTTGGCCCGATCCGGTTCAAGGCTGCCCAACTTAAAATCAAGTGAATAGTCTTCAGGTAAACCCAATAGGTTCGCGGATTTTTGAATTAAGATTTGAGCAAAGACGAGGATAAGCGAACCCTAGCTACTAGCTAGTTGAAGGTTAAGCTAAGTTAGATTTGAGCAGGAAGGCTCGACCACGAGGCTTCGTCAAGCTCCAGTTTTACTCTGCTTAGGGCCAACACTTTCTGATTGATTCTCATCGACTCCACTTCACTTTTCCCTAGCTCGCAGTTCTTCGGTACATTGTCGTTACCTTTTCATCGTTTTCATGTATAATTGATATATATTGTTTTAAATTGTAGGTTCTTTTGGTTTTCTGATTGTCATATTCTCTTAAAAGTAATCGCAGGTAATTGGAGATTAGATTAAAGAAGGGAAGAAATATGGCAATTTTTAATGTATTTTTTAGGGTTTGTTATTATTTTTCATTGTGGCTTAATAAGAGAGATGATTAAGGGAAAATGAAATAATCAATAACGTGTCTGAGAATCTCATCTGGTGACACGCATGCTTTGTTTATGATAGATGACAAGCGCTTGGACAGACAATAATTTTGGAATGGTACATAGGGGGTAGAGAAAGGGAGTAGGAAATTTGTGTGTGTTTTTGGTTTTTAATGATCGGACATTGTTGCTCCCTTCTGAAGATATGGAAAAAATGTTAATGAGAGGATGAGTAGACTAAGTTAAAGTTTCGAATTTTGGAGCAAATGAGCAGTGGAGCTTGTGGATGACAATTTTGAGGAATTTTGACTTGGTTTGTTTCATGATTTTTGGCTTTGCAATAAGTTTTATTTTATTTTTCTCATCATGGGAGGATGACAAGACAGATTTAACTTTCGAATGTTGGAGCAAAATGGAGCTTGTGGGACACTGCTCACAATTTGGAGAAATTGCTGACTTGGTTTGCTTCATTGTTCTTTTATGCAATAATTTTTTTTATCATTATCATCAGAATGGATGCTGATGATAATTAGATATTTGGGCGGATATTTGTTGCATTGTTTCGTACATAGGGAATGGAACTTGGTTTCTCTGTTAATTTGATTCTATTATTTGTGCATGCAGTGAAATTATTATATTATTTGCTTTCCGGTAGTGGAAATGAGCAGCCGCTTCTCTCGCACAATCTATGTTGGCAACCTACCCTCAGATATAAGAGAATGGGAGGTTGAAGATCTTTTCTACAAGGTGCTGGTGAATTTGATATTCTGCCAATGTATTTTTCTTCTATGAAAGAATAAATATAACATTTCCTCAGCTAGTTTTCATCACATAAGTAATGTATGTATCTTGTGGTTGTGCTTGATTTTGACGCATGTAATCCGGACTTTATATGAACCACATCATTAATGTGTTTGAAGAATCTCTTTGCCTTTGGTTGATATCTGTTTCTGTTTTCTAATATATGTTTTTCTTATTCAGTATGGTCGTATTTTGGATATTGAGTTGAAGATTCCACATCGCCCTCCATGTTTTTGTTTTGTTGAGGCACATTTCTTATCACATGTTTTATCTAGGATGCAAAATGAAAAAAGTGAATTTTTTTATTAAATTGTGTGTTGTAGTTTGAGGATCCCCGAGATGCTGAAGATGCAATCAGAGGTCGAGATGGTTATAACTTTGATGGTTGTCGTTTGAGGGTAATGAACGGCACATGTTTTCATGTGTATTACATCTCTGTTTCCCTCCTTATTTGGCTTTTGTCTGTGATTGATGTAGGTTGAGCTTGCACATGGTGGTAGAGGACAATCCTCAAGTGATCGTCGTGGTGGGTATGGTGGTGGTGCAGCTAAGTTTGGTGTATCACGTCACTCTGAATTTCGAGGTCTGCCTAACTGTTAAACTGTGTCAACTCTGTTATTTCTTATTTAGTTTCTATTTGCAGTAACAAATGGTTCAAATGTATACATTTGTTTCCCTGCAGTTAGTTCGCGGGCTCCCTTCTTCTGCTTCCTGGCAAGATTTGAAGGTTTAGAGAACTTGTATAACTTGAAACAAGTGTAGGGATTTTTAATTAAGCTGTAACTCTTACCTATCCATATCCTCTTTTCAGGATCACATGCAAAAAGCTGGTGATGTGTGTTTTGCAGAAATTTCACGTGACAGTGATGGTATGATTTAAGGAGATGTATTGATAAGCTTATACGGTTCATTGTTTACCTTATCCCCCTGTATGCCCTCTCTCTCTCTCTCTCTTTTCTCTCTCTCTTTCCTTATTTTGATGCTGACATCTTGCATTGTAACTTGTTCCAACTCTGTTAGATCTTGAATGTTGCTATTTGATATTCTTATCATCTTATGTGGGACATGCTTAAATGTATGTTTTGGATGTTCAAACTGGTAATGTTTGTAATTATAAGATCCATTGTTTCTGCTACTTCTCTTTAATATGCTTGTACTTATCTTCTAGTTCTGATTGTTTTATGAGCTTTTCCTTTATGTTGAAATCGATTGAAATCTGAAATAGTTATCGTCTCATCTTGATTTTTCAACTGGATTGGCTTAGTTTTTAGGCCTTCATGTTTTTGAATGAGTTTATACTTATTATTATCTCTCTCTCTTGTTCAGGTACTTTTGGTATTGTTGATTTTACCAATTATGATGACATGAAATATGCTGTAAGTTTTTTAGAAAGAAAATTTCATACCTCCTTGCCATGAATTTATGCTACTTCAATGCTTGTAAATTGTAATTCAAGTGACATGTTTTTAACATCATGCAGATTCGTAAACTTGATGATACCGAGTTTAGAAATCCTTGGGCTAGAGCTTACGTTCGGGTAACCTTGCTATGCATTCTTCTATTCTTACTATTTTCCGTATCATTGAATGGTTTTGCTATATCCTCATTCCCCTTCGTAATAGGCTGAAATGTTACTTGCGTAAAATTTTATGAACAAGGTCTATTCCATTATTGATGTGGAATACATGGAGCCATTGATTTGTTTTAGTATGCAAAATCGTAATTCTACTATGTGCGTGTTCTCACATCTGCGACTAACATTTACCCAAGTAAACACAAGCATGCCTGCGACTAACCTTTAGCTAAGTAAACACATGAATAGATATTAGGCCTGTAAATGAACTGAACGTTCAGCGAACCGTTCATGAACTGTGCGGCGGGAAGTTCGTTTATGTGTGTTTATTTATTAAATGAACGAACATGAACAAGATTTTGTGTTCGTTTAATTAAATGAACGAACATGAACATAAGTCTCGTTCGTTCATTTACGTTCGTGAACGTTCGGTTATGTTCGTTTATGTTCGTTCGGTTATGTTCGCTTATGTTCATTCATTTATGTTTAACCCAATCTTCTTAAATCAATTTTGGTGACCAATTTGTAAGTATCTTAAAAATATTAATTAATCTGATATTCTGATGACTAATTCCATAATTAACCCAATTTTATTCGAATATTAAATCCAATATGTTAACCCGTGAGGAACCTCACACCTATATTCATTTCTCCCATTTTTTCCCAAACCCTAGTGTTCACTAGAGAGTGGAGACGATCGCTGAAAGCTTCAAAACAAGTTATATTATAGTGCAACCTGAAGTTTTACAGATATGCTTTCATCTCTTTCTCTGTTTTATTTGACTTAATAGTTGACATGTAAAGTTATTGTTGGTATCTTCACATCTAAAACTCAAGAAAACATTATACTTCTTTCTAGAAATAGATGGGAAGATAAAGGTGACAATCGGAAGTATATGAGCATCAGTAAAGAGAAAAATATATAGAATTTTCCAGAAAACAAAACAAAGGTTTCTATGTAATTTCTGCAAAAGACTGTAATAGCGGAAGTAATGAGTTTTTCAGGAAGAACCCATTAATAAGTAGAAAATACACTTTGACAATGAACTTTTGTTTTCATAGTTCTTGTGTGACATTTAGTTGTGGAGTAGACTTTAGGTACGTTAAAATTTTGAATGGTGGTTTAGCAATAATATCAGTTACGATATGTAGCATCGAAGGGATTTCAGATCTATGTTATTGCCTTGTAGTCCAATTTGTACCGTTCGAAATCTTCATGTTGTTAAATTTTCTACTCTTCCAACGGAAATGACCATTATTAACAAACCTCACTAAAGTCTGACATTGATGTCACAAAACTTTTAGCCGACGAATTTATTAGAATAACGTAGTGGAAAATGATTGTTCATATGTAATCATGGACCACTAAGATAAATGTTATATCGTTAAATTAAAGTCGTGTGAATCATTTAATATCTTTAAAAGATCGATCGAAATATTTGATATCTTCAAACATTTCATCACTGCTAATCAGCTCTTACGCTATTTATCATGAAAGAACAATGGAAGGTAGGGTCTCCAGCGTTTATGTTCGTGTTCATTTATGTTTGTGTTCGTTTATGTTCGTGTTCGTTTATATTCGTTTATTTATTAAATGAACGAACATGAACAAGTTATATTCCTTAATAAACGAACATGAACAAAAAATTTTTTGTTCGTTTATGTTCGTGTTCGTTTATGTTTGTTTATTTATTAAATGAACGAATATGAACATACCTCCGTTCGTGTGCGTTCGGCTCGTTTACAGGCCTAATAGATATGGTCTGACCTTCCCTCTATCATTCTATTCTCACACTTTCTGAGAATTTTCAGTGGTTAAAATTGCAAAGGGTTTCTTGCACTGTGACCCTACTTTTATTTATGGATACATGGAGCAACATGCATTGAAATATATATATATATATTCCTTTTGTCTTGTGTAGAATTTAGAATTTTCAAAATTGACCTCCATTTTTAAGTATTTGGTATTTATTCATTTGTATGGACAGGTGAAGAAATACGAGAGCAGCCCTTCCAGTAGTAGTGGGAGTAGAAGTAGAAGCCGCAGCGTTAGAAGAGACCGGAGGTATTAACCCTATACTATTCTCTTTCAGTACTTAACCTTTCTCCTTCAGATGCACTCCAGAACTCCAAACATTTTCTTTCCTGTATGCAGTAAATCACAGGAAAGATGTCCGTCCAAATTACCTGTTAAATCCAGATCTGCCTCTCCTGTCAAGTCACCCAGGTAACTGGGTGTCAAAACGTGCTGTCAGTTTCTTTGCTTTGCTATTCAGTTTTGTTGTTTTCCATATGATTTATGAAACTTCTTTACTTCTATTCATTCAGAGAAAGATCAAGTTCAATATCAGTATCACCTGACAAGGTAGGCTAATTCCGGTTTCTGATATTCAATGCGAGTAGTGACCCGTCACGTATTTGAATCTCACATTCCATTTAAAAGAATCATGAAATTGAAACAAGACCTTCCCCCCTCCCCCTCAAATGGCAAGTTTGAAGTGAATCTTATACATGTGGCTGATTCTACTTTCAGGCCCGATCGGTGAGGCATTGATATTCATACCGCATTAAAAACATAAGTCCGGTATTGCTTGCAGCTTAATGGAGTTTTAGGGTAAATTTTGTTGAACGTCTTAGCACAGTACAACCGGATACGGTCCATGTGGGCAAGTTTAGCTAGGTTTGGCGGTGTTTCTTGGAGGCGAAGCAACTATCTCTGAACGCTAATGGATGAACTAGGTTTCCTTTTGTTTCATTTTGATACTATATTTGAACACTAGTGGATAAGCTAGCTTGATCTATGACACTCTTTGACATATCCTTTGTTGGTTTTATCTTGGTTATCAAATTATGCATGTTGGATGGGTGGTTTTTCTTTTTTAATTTGGTCCTTGCATTTGTTACTTATTACATGCAAAATATTAGAAAGGCCTGTAATTTAATAATATAGTATTTGTTTATCAAAATAGTATTTGTAAATTTAACCCACATTCTTCTAAACCAATTGATGGTAGATAACACATTGTTACTAAAAGGAGTCTAAGGTAGCAAAATTAGGGGAAAAATTAGAAAGAATCAAAATGATTACTTGTGGGGTCAGCAGTTATGTGGTCAGCCAGCTTTATATTTGATTAAATTAAAGGGCTCAACGAGAACTGGAAAAAGTTAAACCTTTTATTTTCCTCTAATTTCAAGCGTCTAAGCAACCTACCCAGACTTGATTAATTCATAAATTTTATTAAGAGATATTTTAATCGTACAATCAAATAAAACTTTTAATAATTAATTATTATATTCTCAAGATAATATTATTTTCAAAATATAATATCTAATAATTATAAATTTCGAACTATCACACAATTAGGAAAAAAAACCTACAAGTCTCAACTACCCTAAACCCATAGGATGGAGAGGGTGAATGTTTTAAAGAATTGTTTATGCCCATTTCTTAGCGGCTACATAAAGACGCCCACAAAATCATTGCAAAAGTCAGTTTACAGATTCTTCATGTTTCCATGAATCCTGGGACGGGCTTTGAAATTGTATCATGACATGCATATTCATGATTTAATATGGTGGGGTTCTGTGTCCTAATGGAGGCTCTTGGGACCCATGATTTGTGATTTTTATTAAGCTTTAAACACATCGAGTTGGTTAGATAAAACTATCATTTTCACACAATTTGATAATTTCTAATATCTTTTATTCTCTATATAGTTGTAACTTAAAAAAGAAATTTCCATTTAGGTGAGGTATGCGATCAAATCATGATAAATTAAAGGGTAAATTATGTGTAGTACCTAAATTATCAGTTTTGATCTATTAGTACCTAAACTTTTAACTTTTTTAAAATCATAGCTAAAGTTTAGTTTTTGTTTCATTTTAGAACTCCCGTTCAAAATTTAATGTTAAGTTTTGAAAAAAAATGAAAGTTTAATTACTAAAACGGACTAAAATTGATAGTTTAGATACTAAGCACATTAAGTTTTTAACAAAATGGTACTAAAATGAAACAATAACTAAACATTAGGTATAATTTAAAAAATGAAAATTTAGGTACTAAAATGGATTAAAACTGATAGTTCAGGTACTAAACATGTTAAGTTTTAACGGCATTATACTAAAATGAAACAATAACTAAAAATTAGTTATGATTTTGAAAATTTTGAAAGTTTAGGTATTAAAACGGATGAAAACTGATAGTTTAGGTACTAAATGCATAGTTTATCCTAAATTAAATAAAAATATTGAATTATCAACATTAGACCATAAAAATAATTTCTGCCTTTTCTCCCTTTATTAAGCCCACCGGCCACCACCATTTCGTAAAAAAACTCTCCTTCCTCGTCTCTATTCAGCTTCTTGCAAATGTCTCGGGTTTTCTCAAAAACTCCAAAACACTGCGCCGAAAAACAAAGCTGCACCATCAGCAAGTTCTACAAGAAACTGTTCTTCATTTTCTCTTCAATTCTCACCATCGTTTTAACCTTCATCTTCCTCGTCTGGCTAACCCTGCACCCTTCCAAACCCCACTTCTCCCTCACACAAGCCGACATCTACCAACTCAACCTCACTCTCCCTTCGCTCCTCAACTCGTCCATCAACTCACCTTCCTCTCCAACAACCCCAACAAGAGAGTCGGCGTTTACTACGACGACTTGCAAGCTTACGCTTTGTATCAAGGCCAGCAGATAACTGTGGATACACCTATTCCTCCGTTTTACCAAGAAAACGAAGAGAGCAACTTGTTGACTGCGGTTTTGCAGGGAAATGGTTTCCCGGTGGCACGGGGTTTCGGTTACGAAGTGGGACGAGATCGGAGTGCGGGGAAATGGTTTTGAGCTTCAAAGTCATCAGAAAACTCCAGTAGAAAGTCGGGACTTGGGGTTTCCGGCCGATATCGGTTTAACGTTAACTGTGCGTCGGTTGTTGGGTTTGGGCCTAGAGCTGCACCGTCGAGTCCGTTTATCAGTTCAAGTAGAGGAACTCAATGTTCCACCGATGTGTGAGATAACATGCTAAACTTTTTATCTGCTTGACGATGATGTTCTATAGTTTTCAAACTTGAGATTCTATAATTTTAAGTCTCTTTGTTGTCAATATTGACATATAATGATCATGTATATAATCTTGGTTATATTTAAAAATAAATCAATTCAAATTTATAAGTTATAATTTTTTTTTATTAATATGGATAAATAATATAGTATCCATTTATAAACAATGCTTCAGTATAGGGATGACAGATGAATATAATTTCGTGAATTCTGCACCGCATCCGTTCTAATTAAGGCGGAGATGGGCATAAGTTTAGTGGGTAGTGGGCGGACGTGGATGTCAAAAGTCATATCCGTCGTGAGTAGTGGGTAATTGATGAGTTCGATGTCTTACCTGCCCCATATCCGCTCGTCCACTAATTACTCATTTTATAAAATTTAGACCATTATGAATTGGGTTAATTGCCCCATTCATACAATAACGTATATCAAATTCTTAGTTTCATGCATAATATTTTAAAATTATTGATTTCATACATGGTGTTTTTTGCGGTTAACGAAATCGCCCACTTTCGTCACAAAAAGTGACATGGACCCTTTGACCACTGATAAAATGACACGTAACATTTTATAAAAATATATATTTTTAAAAAATTTTGTTTTTAAAAAACTCATTTCCTCTATATTTTGACAAAATAGATAACTTATACTTACACCGGTGTATATGTTTTGTCAAAATAAGGGGAAATGAGTTTTATATTTTAAAAAATATTTTTTAAAGTGTCACGTGTCATTTTGTCAGTGGTCACAAGGTGCCACGTATGTGTGTGTAGATTTGAGAATGTGCATGCGTGGGCGGGTGCGAATTTAAAAAATTTACTCATTGTGGGTGGTGGGTAGGTGGTAATACGAAAATATTAGGTGGAGATGGGGAAAGGGTATCCGCACCCGCACCGTCTGTTTGTCATCCTTACCTTCAATATTTAACATTGAACACTCACATCCTTAGCATTCTTAGTACTCGAACCCAGAACCTAAAAAAATAACAACAATTCTTTTATCATCGAGATCGTTTGATTCGTACTACAAGTTACAACATAAATACACATGCTATCAATGGCGGAAGGAAAGCATACCCCGAATGTTCATCCTATAATTCAAATTTTTTATATTAATTGTGAATTTTATTATAAATGTCTACCTATACTTTTATTTGTAACGAAAGCTGCAGGCAACCCTTTATTGAAAAAGTCAAGGGCACGAGATTTTGATACATATGTTGTTTTGATGCAGTAATTTTGCAACTAATAATCGATTTGTACGGTAAAAAGAATGTGTAATACAGACAAAATATATTCAGGTGTTTAATTTTGTAGAAGTAAAAGGTCTGCAGTCTGCGGATTACATCTGCAGGTATCTGCAATAGAAGAAGTGGATCAAAAGTCTGCAGTCTACAAGAAGAAGATTGATTGTTTTTTAACGTCTGTAGACTACTAAAATAAATTGAAATATAAATAAACTGATTTTTTAAATTTAAAAGAGTTTTGCAATATTGAGATTTAAATAATTTTAGTTTTACAATACTGAAATTTAAATAATTCATACAACTACAATAATAAATTATTTAAAATAGATCAATCCATATTTTAAAATAAATCAATCTATACTAATAAATTATTTAAAATAAATCAATCCATATTTTAAAATAAATCAATCCATACTAATAAATTATTAAAAATAAATTAATACATATTTTAAAATAAATCAATACATACTAATAAATTATTTAAAATAAATCAATTTATACAACTACAATAATAAATCAATCCATATTTTAAAATAAATCAATCCATACTAATAAAGTATTTAAAATAAATCAATTCATATTAATAAATTATTTAAAATAAATCAATCCATATTTTAAAATAAATCAATCCATACTAATAAATTATTTAAAATAAATAAATCCATACTAATAAATTATTTAAAATAAATCAATCCATATTTTAAAATAAATCAATCCATACTAATAAAATATTTAAAATAAATCAATCCATATTTTAAAATAAATCAATCCATACTAATAAATTATTTAAAATATATCAATTCATACAACTACAATAATAAATCAATCCATATTTTAAAATAAATCAATCCATACTAATCAAATATTTAAAATAAATCAATCCATATTTTAAAATAAATCAATCCATACTAATAAATTATTTAAAATAAATCAATCCATATTTTAAAATAAATCAATCCATACTAATAAATTATTTAAAATATATCAATTCATACAACTACAATAATAAATCAATCCATATTTTAAAATAAATCATTCCATACTAATAAATTATTTAAAATAAATCAATTCATATTCAAAATTATTTAAAATAAATTATTTTAAAATAAATCAATCCATATTTTATAATAATTTATTTTAATATAAATTTTTATAATAAATTTTTTTAAAATAAATTATTTTATAATAAATTATTTTAAAATATATAACCTTATTAAATTATTTAAAATTATTTTAATAAATAACCATATTTTATCATTGTTCTTGAAGAGGTTTGAAGACCTTTAAAGACATAAAATCATGTCTGCACCAAGAAGAGGTCACGAAGACGTTAGAAAAACTTATGTCTTCTGAAAAACAAACGGTCTACGAAATATGTTTACACGTAATCTGCGAGTCGCAAACATAAGAGGTTTGAAGAAGTTGCATAGTCAAAACAAACTAAGCCATTATCAGAAAAGCACTTTAAAAAGATGGAGGGACTATTTTCTAAAGTGATCAAACTTCTTTAAAGACGCCAAAAGCTCAATAGGGGAAAGAGAGAATTCAAAGTGCTATGCAACCCAGAAGATTAGCTTGTCTATCACTCGGAATTTGAGCGTAGGATCATGGACAGTGATTCAGATGAAATATGAGTCCTACAAAGTTCAGATTGTTGATATTATAGTCCCATAAATCATTACTCCAACAAGAGATTTAGCAGTTTAGCAAATTGTGAACAGCCAAAATTCATCATTTCATGCAAGATGAGAACGACTCAGAACCAGCCCATTTCCAGAAAACATAGGATTAAATTCGACAAGTGAAAGATTAAATTTCTAGAACTAGAAAACATAGGACTAAAGCTCGAAAATTTGAAAAATAGAGGGATTGAAAACATAATTATATTCCGAGGTTATTTTATATTTTGGGGGAAAGCCAAACCAACGGTTGTCTTTCAAATTCAATTTTCAAGAAAGAAAGAAAAAAAAATCAAATTTGTTTCCAAAAAAAAATCATCTATCAGGAAGGAAATCAGAGGATTTTAATCGGACAGTGAAGCAACACAAGGATTCAATGGCAAGGCGTCGAAAATCAAGCAAAGGCGAAACACCAAAGGCGGAGAAGGTAGAGACAGTACTTTCATCGGCGAAGAAAGATACGAGCTTAAAGAAACATACGCGTGAGATGAAGGAGAAGAAGAGCAAGTACGATCCAGTGGGTGAGAGTCCTTTGAGATCCATTTTTTGTTTGAAAAAGATGGTCGACATGAAGCGTGCTGAGGAGACTGAGGATTGCTTTATCCTTGATTTTAACCCTTTCAATCCCATTGACATTGCCAAGCTTTCCGCCGCCAACGACGGCGATGTTGACGATGAACTCTCCATGGTCGCCGAGCGTGGCCAGGTTTTTTTTTCTCCAATTTTTCTATTTAAATTCAAATTTTTCCCTAGTATATTTGCTGACGAAATTTACACTTTTTGAACTTGATTGGAATGGAGCAAAAACTTCAAATTTAGTTTAATTTAGATCGCTGGGTATTGTTTCTTGTCCACCAATAAGTAATGATCTTATAGTTTTTGTTAATTTAATTTTGTTATTGATGTTGTTTTAGGTGGCCTGCAGAGATTATCCACACTCAAGGCATCTTTGTCTGCAATTTCCATTCGATACTACACCTCATGACAAACATTGTGACCTGGTATGCCAAGCAACAATCTTTTACGTTACTGGCGGATTAGCTTTGTTTATTGTTTGGATCACTGGGATTTTGATTCCATTCTAATGATTTTTGTTTCGGTTTGATGCAGTGTTACTGTTATGTTTGTGATTCTGCTGCTCCTTGTGAGTGTTGGACGACACATTGCCATGCCTCGGAGCATGTCAAAAACTGGAGATCTCAACGCCGTGTCAGGACTCGATAGGTTCGGCTTCGTACCTTTCCTGCCATGTCGGAAAATCGAATCCCGAACTCATGCTTATAGGTCGGATTCTACCGGATTTTGCTAACAATTATCTTCTTTTTTGGATCAGATAAGGATGTATAGAATAGTTTTCAAGTAACTTTGAATGAAGGGGATTTCATTGCTGAATTGGGGGTTAAAGATGTTGTCTTTGCTTTACGGTTGCTTACTGCTATAAGCATTGGGGGTCTAAAGAGCTGTATTGCCATTGTTATATATGTCCGGATTTTATCGAGCACTTTGACAGGTAATCTCGATTGCAATATAGACGAGTGAACACGAGTCTTTACGTTCATCTTTACGTTGTCATCACTTCAATAAACTTTCGATCTAAACCATAATCGATCGATCACACACTCCAAACATTAGGAATGATTAATAGTTTAATAACTAGAATTTAATATACAGATGGTATCAAATTACAAAACATTCAATGTGCTAACCAAAACTATAAACAAGACCAACATCACAGCAAAAACTCGAAACATAATAGTGCTAAATGACTTCTGCTGCCGCCGAGCCGAAAACCTCTTTAACCATCGATTCAGAACCTTTTCACAAACTGAAATCTTGCTCTTTAACCTTGAAACATTCTTTCTGCTAGAATCGAAAATGGATATTTCCTCCGGTTCATCCATCATGATGGTGCCACGAGCAGCATTGTCGCCGACAGCTTTTACGTCCTGCTAGAAGACAACCCTATTAATGTTCATATACATATCTGGATTCGGCAATGGCTTAACACTATCATGATTTACAGATATCTCACCTTTGTAACAATGGGTTTCGAATCATCTTTCTTCTCTTCGAAGCGAGGATGGACTTGAAGTTTAAATCTTCTTGATGCAGTCCCCTGTGTAATGGAGTTCTCGATTTTTGGTTGACTTCGACGGGTGCGAGATCGAATCTTGATTCCAGCTACAGGTGCAGTATCGATATTACATGTTGCGCTCACGTGATTGCTCGATTCGCCATTGCTATTTAGCACATTATAGAATTCCCCATCACAAGAAACTTTAATATCATGTGCAGTTGCTTTAACCTCTAGAGGAACTCCTCTGTCATCATTGCTAGTCCCGTGCTGTAAGAGTATAGAATAAAAATACTATGAGACATTTCAATGAATCTAGACGCGATGGAAAAAACAGTACTAGTAAGAACGTGAGATAAAACAATATGTAACGAGCGTGGTTCTACTACTCACCGTTACTTGAACCACATCAGCATCGGATTCGCAATATGATCCACCATCCATACCAAAAGCCAGGGGGTTGGGAGTCTCTCTTTCTTTAATCAAATTCTTTTGACAGCCCCAATCCCCGCTGTAGTAGTCATCTGAGGTTTTGAAGTGGGAACTATAGGCATCATTTTCATTTGTGCCATACTCAAACTCCACCCCACTAAAATCGTTCCCGACATGATCTAACATCCAAGGAGCCCCCTCTCCTTTGATCTGCAAATGCAACGGAGAAAAGAGTTGCCAATCCAGAGGCTCCATCATTGGATCATAAAAGTGATTCAAAGCTTCTCCAACTGCATCCACCTGAAAATCAAACAACATAAGCGCAAAAGCTATGACAGCAAAATCCAAAACTGAATCGAAATCTAAATCTAAATCCAAATCGAGTTTCATTTTCTCACCTCTGCAGGTGCCATTTCTACCAGTTGACCTCCTAAATGGTACATCATTTTGTTATCTAAACCTTCAAGACAAGTTTCACTGCTACTGGGAACTTTTTCGGCTTTCACTTCCCCCGCAGGCTTGTCTCGCGGCACATCAAACTCAGATTGCACATCTTCGGTGTGAGACGATGTGCCGGGATCAACGAAGTTGCCATTAATATCTTCGATGGTCTCGTCTTGTTTCTTGAATAGACGACAAATTACAAAAGGATTCTGCAGAACAATACACCAAAAAGTCAAACAATATGAGCAAAACTAACAAAGGATCGAACCCTCAACTGGAATCAAACTGAAACCTCAATATTTAAGTCAAAAGAAAAAGACCTGTCCGGGCTTGGTGCCGTCGAGCTCATCGAGGGTAGTACGGTACTCGTGCATAATCCAATTGGTGCGCTTTCCCTTGGGAGCCCGGCCGGTGTAAAACACCAGAGTTTTCTTCATGCCGATCAAGCTAGACCCGGACTTTATCTTTCGATCCTTACCCGTAGCCTTCCAGTAACCAGCACCGGTAGCCCGGTTGAGCCTGCTTCCGTTTGGATACTTCCGGTCGAGCGGGCAAAAGAAGAACCACTCCGGGTCTCGACTCTTTATAACAGACAAGTCAGGCAAATCCCAAGGCTCGCATTTACAGACATCGATTTCACGAATCACTCCGACCTCATTGACCCTTTCTCCGTTTATCTTGGACCGCAAGTAACAATCGATCAACTCCTCGTCAGTTGGTCTGAATCGGATTCCGATGGGCAGTGAATTCAGTGAAATAACATCCATGATTAGCTTTTACTAAACCCAAAGAAAAGGGATCTTTCGGCAAGTCCAAAAAGTTGTAGGAAAAGTGAAGAATTACGAGAAGATTCAGAGGGAATTAGGATTTGGATACGAAAGATTTTGATCAAGTGTTTGCTGAAGAGGTTCCATGGCCCATAGTTTGCTTTACTTTTGCCTTTCAATGGATATATATAGAAAATTATTAGTACTTGTTTTATTGTTTGGGTAAACAATGTAGATAGTCCTTTATTTTTTTTGTTTGCTTGACTTTGGTCACAAATTTAAAAATTAAGGGGAATGATTTCTAATATTATCGATTTATTCGATTTTAGTCACTCATCAATTAATGTCCATTAACCCCTTTTGTTTGTCCTTTTTCTTTAAGTTTCTAATATGATTGAGAGACTAAAATTCGAATGAGAGTTAACGATTGAGAAATTAAAATCGAACGCATCGATAATGTTAGGGATTAAAATCAAATCGGTCAATAATGTTAGGGACCGTTCCCTTTTAATTTTAAAATCAATAACTAAAGTCGATCAAACTGAAAACGTAGAAAATTATCTGCATAATTTACTCTCTCTTTTTAATTTCGGTTAATGTCCGCGTTTGATCATATTCCGCTATAGAAGTTGTCAAATAATTTATGCTTTTACGATTAACCCCATTACTCTAAAAAAATGGAGAAAAAAATAATTATATAATTCATAGTAGTACAATAATACCATTGTTAAGACAACCTTATTATTTGTATGCATTATATTATTGAGCAAAATTAGGGGTAGACAATAAATAGGTTAAATTGTTTACTAAATGTAACCCCTCGTATGAATGCAGGTAATTCGATCCGAAATATCATATTAGGATCACTAGAGCGATCTACTATAAAAATTGGCAAAAATTTAAAATTTTCCTAAACCATTTCAAAGCGTAAATAATTTATAAATAAAAATTCAATAATCATTCTGACGATAAAACAAAATTCAATAATATAGAATATCAAAACATATTTCACACTATGATGTGAAAACAGACTATGACCCATAAGCCCCTTAATTATACGATTACTATATTTTGCAAGTAATGTCGTGTCTATAGTTACATTGGATTTTTTAAGGGGTGAGGTCAGGTGGAAGGTGAAAAAATTTTTCGACCCGATCCGAGGATAATAATACAATTTTCTTAAATTTTTCATTATTTTTTAATTAAGTTCTTATTTTATATCGGGTCAGGTTGGGTCGGATTTATACTTTAAAAATTTGAGTCGGATCGGAGTCGGTGGAGAGTATATTTTTTCAAGTCAGGTCGGGTGGAAGATATAAAATTTTTGGGTTGAGTCAAGTTCAGGTGGAGGATGTAGATTTTTGGGTTGGGCTTTTGGTCGACTCGGCTCGTTGCCATCTCTAAATGTATGCATTATAATATTACTTAATTATTTTTAGGGTCAAGTAAAAAAATAGTACATTGACTATAAGATATTGTTTTAAGTACCTCGACTATTAAAAGTTATAAAATGGTTATTCGACTATAAAGTGTTGCTTTGTTAAGTCTTTTAACTTTTAAACGTTACAAAATGGTCACCTGACTATTCATCATGTTCCAAACTCGTCCTTTTTCGTTAAAAAATTGACGATATTATGAGCTAAACGTTAACCTACTAACTGTAATATGATATAATTTGATCATAGAATCTCAAACGACTATTATATCTCAATCATCATGTCAACGTCTAACTCGGACAATTGTCAATTTTTTAAAGGAAAATGACAAGTTTGAAACATCATAAATAGTCGAGTGATCGTATTATAATTTTTAATAATTAAGGGACTCAACAAAGCAACACTCTATAGTCGGATAATCATTTTATAACTTTTAATAGTCGATGGATTTAATAAAACAATATCCTATAATCATGAGATTATTTATGTACTTTATCCTTAGAGTATGTTTAGTTCACGAAATGTAAGATTACCGGAATGTAACATTACTCTGAGAATATTGTATTACCCTGTTTGGTTTGTTTAATAGGAATGTAAAATTATAGTGTTTTGTTGGAGAAATATAAGATTACTTTGATGCATATTTTACTAAATTATCTTTGTCATATATAATTTTAACAAGTAAAACTTTAATAGTAAATTTTAAATATTTGAGTGAAAACTCATAAAAATATTTTAATTATTATACTATCTAATTTTAAAGAAAAAAAATTAACATATAATTAATATAATTAGTATATCAAACTTATAATTTTAAATAATTTTCAGAAGTATCATATTTATTTATATAAAATATAATATAATATGAAAAATAATTTTGTGATCTCAAGTGGACAAATATATTATTTTTAATGTATACAATTTATTTTTTAATTAATCAAAATTTAATTTAAATTTAAATAAATACATTTTTACATTAATAACATTTTCACCTTATAAAATTTTAAAATGTTTAATATACTAAATATTGAAAATATAAAATCATTTTATCTACTCAAAATTATTAATATTTCATTAAATTAAACATTTTTTTTATTATTATTAAGTTTATAATTTTGAGTAATTCAAAAATAAAAAGAATTGTGAAGGATTCATATGAAAAAATAATTATTTTATAGGTATTTTTGTTTTAAATAGTGTGTATTGTTTATTGCCTAAGAATTTAAAAGGAATATCATTATCTCATTTTAATCTAAAAATACTACTATTACGAATATTATTATATTATGAT